CGACGGAGGTTAGAAAAACTGTTGTCTGACGACGAAGGTCAGAAGGACAACATCAGGTAGAAGTCCAACAATGGAAAGAAATCCATTTTCGAATAGATGTCCAGTGAAAGTCCGATAAGTGGTAGAAGTCCGGCATCGGGTAGAAACTTGGCGATGAGTGAAGGTTTGACATCGGGTAGAAATCCGACGTCTGTTGGAGGCCGAGGAGAACTCCGATATCACTTGGGCAGAGTTTCAGCATCTGGGGGGAACTCTATCGTTACTTGGGCAGAATTTTAGCGTCCAGTGAAAGTCATACATAATTTTGGCGTCCCGTGGAAGTCAGGCAGAATTCGGTGTCCCGTAGAAGTCATGCAAAATTCCGGCGTCATTTAGAGTTCGGGCGGAACTCCGGCGGTGGTCGAGGAGGAGTCTCTTCCCTTCTACTCTTCTCTTCTCCTGCTCTCCCTTCGGTCCCCCCTCAAGAGAAATGAGGGGTCTATTTATATATTTTTTGGAGTGGCATAGCCCGTAAATAGATGAGAGATCAAGGGCCAATATGGAGTGGTTAGAATGAACGGCCGATATTGAATCCTTCAATCGTGGACCGTTTATCAGGCATTTAAAGGCCTTAATGATTTCGGAATTTGCCGATCTTGGGCTCGTTGGATTTGTCTCGTCGAGACGCTCGATTCGACTATAAGCTCGTCAAGTTTGAAGACCGTTTAGTAACTTAAATTGTAGTACGAACTTTCCAACAGTGCTTCGGGTCCTTGCTTTGGACTCATTTGGGCTCGGATTGAGTTGAATTTGGTGTTGTTGGGTTCGTAATTCTGAGACGCTCAGTTTGACTGTAAGTTTGCTGAAATCGGAGTTCAAGCGATCCCGGATTTAATTTTTGAAGCTTCCGACTTGATTTTGCCTCGAGATTCGTGCCCGATCAAGATAATTTTCCGATGACATATCAATCTTAATGAATCTAATAAGAAAATTGATTGAATATAATAATCGATATACCATTAATTTTGTAATAGTTTTGTCGGTGTTTGCAATGTTCAAGTTAACCAAATAATATTTTTATTATGGTACATAAATACTCCCTCCTCCATTGACCATAACACCCTCATATCCACTAACCTTCCCAACCAAAAGAGACATGGATGGATTACCTATTAAATAAGAGATTGGCCATTACATTTTGCAAATAAAATATCTTTATCTTTTCGTAACTATTTTGCAGGCAATGGTTGATAGTATATGGCACATGCTTGCCATTATTACCTCGATTGCATTGTCGAAGAAGAAGGGATGGAATTATAAACTATCTATTATGTTTGTTTGACATTCTACTTTCATTATTAATAGGATGATAAGCTCTTTAGCTAATGAAATAATTACTAATAGCACCTAGTTGAAGTAAAAACTCACTGTTTCTTTACTTGAAAAATTTACACAACTATTTCAAATATGGCACATGTAACCCTCAGAAAATTCCAAGTTATTATGTTGCAAAAATGTTATTGATGTCCCTTCATGGCATATAACTTGTCATTACCAACCAAATAGGACCCTTAAAAGGAATATATCCTATAATGTTGGCTTGCAACTGGTCAAATCACAGAACCTAAATTTTGGAAACTTTTTTGAATTCTTCTTCCAATTTAAATTGTAAAATAAACAATAGACACGGAGCTACTAATAGCATCCAATGTACTGCAAAGAAACTCATTCACAAATTCACTTCTCATTCATCATCACCAAAAAAAAAATATTTATAATGATTACACTACAAACATAGTTATAGATAAGAACACTGAACAGAGTATAATAATAATTAGTCATGACTGTACAAAAAAATTATAAATAAAAATATATGTAAAAACTCAAATCAATCAAAAAATGGCCACTCAACATATTCCTTCCCTTCCCAGACCCTGAAAGGAAAAGGAAGAACAATTCTGAGCTAACGCAGTTCAATAAATCATATTTATTATTCTAAATTTCCAAATTATTCAGTTACTAAGCATGCAATTGAATGATAAAAAGTGATATAATAAATCACTATGCTAAGCATTAGGGGTATTAATACTTGTTCCGACTCGAAATTTAACCAATCTTGAAAAATTTTGAGTTTTGGTCAACCAGTTTACCTAAAGGGTTGGGTTCGGGTTCAAGATAATGACATATTTCTAAAATCGGGTTGAGTTCTAGTTGACCTGAAGATCCAAAATCAACCTGAAACTAACCTGGGTCACATTTGTATTCACACAGTCACCCATATTGCTCATGTGTGCACTTCGGTGCTCGCACTTGCACCCGTGCCCTCGCCCACCCATGCGCATGCACTTGCCCCTTGGCCTGCCCTCACCCTCGTTGTTTGCTCTCGAGTCTTACTCGCTTGTGCGTTGGGTCGGTCAACTCGGTAACTCGTGTTGGTCGGGTTAGGTCAACCCAGTAACCCACACGGTTCGGGTTTGGGTTAGTTGAATTAGATCCCGATCATTTCCAAATACGACCCGAACCTGACCAAAATACCCATTTTGACACCCCTACTAAACATAATATTAATTGTAGTTATCAGAACTTTAAATAACAATACTGAGAAAGTAAAAAAATAAGTAGTTCATATACCAAAAAAGAAATAAAAGATTTTTCCTCAGGCCCTTATATCTCCAATCAGAAATAAACATCATAATATCATGTCGTTATGGCTCCATGTATCTGCATAATAGAAAATAGACCATTATGACTCCTAATACTTAGCGTAAATCAGATTTTCATAAATTTAAGCACCTATGACTCCCTCTGCATTCAACACTAGAACTTCTAACACACATGATCATATCTCCTTAGAATCATATATTTCTCAATAAAAGCACATAATTTATTATATTACATTAATCAAAATATAAATAAGATGCTTAAAGAATTTCATAAATAATGTAATGGTAGACAGTGGAAAACACTAGTATACATAAATTCACTGTTTCATAATATAACTAATTATCAGGAATTGTGCAATACGTTGTTTGAGTTCGACTCGAATCCAACCCGATGACCCATTTTGACACCCCTAATCATATCACAATTGAAGTTAAAGTTGACAAAATATGTCACTAACAACTAAAATATTCTTAAGGGCTATGAAAGTTTACACTGTGAGCCGATATCAAATCATCAACCTTCGACCATCTATATGTTGGCTATATTTTTGGAATTATTGTAATATATTCTAACTGCTATGTACACTGAGCTTGCATAATAATAATCTTATAAGGGCTATGAACTACTTTTTTTTATGACTAATTTTATTAATTCTTATAAAATTTACTTTAGGGAGACAAAGGGGGTATAGTTCATCAAAGATTCTATTGTGAGGGGTCATGACAAAGGCTTCGTTTGGGACAACTTTCTTACTGCTTCTTAAAATGGCTTTCGAGTAATTTTTTTTTTAGCTTTTGTACTAGAAAATTGCTTCAAGAAGCAATGAGAAAGTTTACCTAAACGAATCAACATAGTTGTAGGTGAATGAATTGTCAAATAAGAGCATATAAAATATAATGCGAGGTTTGGTTGATAGTGGTTGAAATGGTAGGATTGTGGGTATGAATGAGAAGAGAAGGTTGATGAGATGCATAGCTAGGGTAGAGGAGGAAGATGTGATGCCTATGGATAGGGTTATAAACGAACTGAATGTTTGACTAGTTACTCGAGGTTTGGCTTAATAAAAGCTCATTTGTGATATTTTAATTAAGTAATCAAATAAGTTTGAATATTTTATTAAATACTCAATGTTTTAATAAATAAGTTTGAACAAGTATGTGTTCGACTCGTTTATGTTCATGAATAATATCGTTCAAAGCTCTTGAACATGCTTAATATGATGCTAGATATAAAGCACAATAAGATAAGAAGTTGGATATGAAGCTTGTGGGAAAATTCAATTACTATTTGATATTAATATTAATTAAGTTTTGTTATAAAAAAAGATAAAAATCTCATTAAATATTTTATCATTATTATGATTAGAAATATACCAACAATTTATTAACAAATTATAAATATAATCAAATAATATAATATATATTGATATATCATTAAAAAATATGTTGATTGGGCATGAATTTCGAGGGAAAATCAAGTTGGAAACTTCAAAAATTATATCCGGGATTATCTGAATTCCAATTTCAGTAAACTTTTAGTCACATTGAATGCCTCATAAATACAACCCAACGACACCAAATTCGACTTAATCGGAGCTTAAATGAGTCTAAATCAAAGACCCGAAGCACATTTGAAAGGTTCAACCCATAATTTGGTATATCATTTCAATTACTCACTATTTTTATTTTCTACTAGAATATATTATTTTGATTTTCTTATATCATTTCAATTACTCGGCTCGGTTCGCAATTCGCACTACGGCAATTGCAATTGCACTTCACCTCTTCAAACTCCCGAATGAAAAGGCACTTAGCCGCTTCAAGCTCGCGAAAGAAAGGCGAAACCCTAGACGTCTTCTTACGCCGCTCAACCCTCAGGGGGTGTTTGGTATATGATTGGATTCAATTTTAGTAGGATTTACTAAATTCTGTAAATCCGAATTTAGTAAATCCTTGGCTCTTAAATCCTGAATTGTGTTTGGTATGACAATTTTTAAATCCTGTTAAATCCAGAAAGATGTTTGGCAACAGATTACAGGATTTAAAACAGTTGGAGATTTAAAATTGAATTGAGTAATATAAAGCCACTTAATTCGCTTCCGTATCAAATTATAAAGTTGTTTGCCATTAAGGAAATAATTAATTATTTAACTAATAAGCCTACTAATTATTTAATTAATAATTTAATTACTATTTTATCAGTATTAATTACCCGCCTTGTCGCTGCTTCAGATAATAACAAAACTAATAATAATATCATTAAATAATAATAATCTTAATGACAATACTAAGATAAATAATAACAACATTAAGAATAATAGTAAATAATGTTGTATTAATAACCTTATTACTAGCAGCTTAGTGAAATAAATGAGGAAGAGTGTAGGATCTCTAGATCGGCAAAGGGGATGGCTGAGATGAAGTTCGGGTCTGAAGCTTTGGTTGGTGGGGAATCGGAAAACAGGAGCTAGGGCAGAGTTTGGCGTCGGGTAGGGGAGCGTCTGCTAGAGTCGGATCGAGCAGCTTGGTGGAGATCGGAGGAAGGAGCTCGGCTGCGAGCGAGGTAACTTTTTTCGGACGTTACAACATTTTGATCTGAAGCAACGACGGTAGCTCGCTCGCTGTGAAGGTAACTTTCTCCCTTTCGCGCGTTTCTTCGGCCAAATTCCTTAAATCCGACTTCTAGCGGGATTAGGATTTACCGGGGTTTAGCGGATTTACGCCATAAATCCGCAAATCCGGGATTTACGGATTTACCGCTACTTTTTTTGCGTTTGGCTGGGTTTACCGTAAATCCTACTAAAAACTCGAAATAAATCCGATACCAAACACCCTCTAAAGGCCTAAAGATGCCTTCATTAACTGCATTATATTGGACTTATATTTTACAAATCAGCTTATGCTTTTGTACGTGGAAGCAGAGTCCTAACCAATTTTTATGAATTTATTTGTTTGTTCTTCGCTTATTTTGGTTAAATAGTCTTGAATTGTTGTCTATGTTGGCTTTGTTTCATTGGGAAGGCTGGGAAAAACGTAAAGGACATGCAGAACAAAACCATATCAAAGTTGTTTTGTATCACACTTGAAGTGAGTATGAAAGTTAGAGCATTTCATTGAAATTAGGATAAGTTTCTTGCTTTTTCTACGTACTAGTAATCTTAGAATGTTAATTTGGCCATGTTTTTTGCTAAATATCGTATTAAAATTTGGCCATGTTTTTTGCTAAATATCATATTAAATTTATCTATCGTAGAGAGGTGAATAGTTGATGTTATCATTTCTTTTCGCTGTTGAGGCTGAATTGTTAGTGTGTTTCCTAAACATATTAGTACACTGTCATGTCTGCGTTATGTCGGGATCAATTTTGTTAAGCTATTCACTATTTGATATTTTTCATAAAGCCAACATCTCAATTCTTTATTTGCTCCATGATACTTCCGGGTTTGAGGTGCTACAAAAAGTGGTTGCCTGGAAGTAACATATAGACATATATGATGTTAGCCTAAATTGAACTACCCTCTATTGTTACTATTGTGGTTGAACACTCTAGATAGGATGTTAGCCTAAATGTTTGTTACTCAAAGCTTGTGATAGATCAGCTACACATACTTACCAGGGTACCTATTTGTATGCCAACCCTTGAGACTAATTTATCAAATCTTCACCTTCAAGAATTCAAGCAAGCCAAGCTTACGATGAACTTAAAGGCCTAATACAGCTGGATGTATCCCCAGTTAGTATGTTGCGAAAAACTAGGTGCTCCATATATAGTTCAACACCATCCTTGCATTCTCTGTTAAAGATAACTCTTTGGGAAGAGCTGGTGCTATTACAATAGCTTAAGATAGCCAGGAGATTTCTAGCATTTCCAATGGTTTTCATTTAGCCCCGGCATAAAATTTGGTTTACATGTGGACTTATAATAAATCATATAAATTTTATTAGAATGAGATTCAATAACAAATTCAGTTCTTTTAGATTTCCAATTTTATGCATCATGATTTATATATCAAGAAAATACCCATTTTTCTTTAGAGTTGATTGGAATATCAAAGTATTTTTATTAGGCATTATATTGTTAAAGTTTGAATGATTTTTAGGCAAAATATTAAATGGTTTCAAATATTCTTTCAGTAGAAAATGTCACATGGTTTCAAATATTCTTTCATTGATCATATGATTGAATTTGTTCATGAATAAGATGTACTTGTTCATATTTCATAAATCATTTGATTTCGGTGTTCATTAAGAATCTCCTTCGTTAAAAATATCATTTATGAGCTCGACAAACTACTCTTTTATAGGCTTGATAAGTTTGCTCATTTATGGGAACGAGTAAGCTCAGTAACCTTGCTCATTTATGTGCTTGATATTAGTGTTTGTTAGTATACTCGATAACACTCGTTTGTTAAGCTAAAGAGCATCTTGATTATGTTTGTTCGTTAATAGCTTGATAAGACTCATTTATTAATTGAAGCAAGCTACTCGTTTAAAGCTCAATAAGTATAAAACGACCTGAACATGAACCAAACACAAACCAAATTTGAACATCTTCCATTTTAAATGAACCAAGATTGAACATAAACGAAAAAGCTCGAATCAAGCGAATCGGGCACGAACAAGCATTAAATAAATGAGCTCAAACATGAGCAAACACTTACTCGGCTTGGCTCGGCTCGTTTATAGCCCTACCTATGGAGGGCGCATGACATTGAATAAATAGTGAGAGCGATGACACAAGCAATAAATATTTAACATCTCTAGTGAACTTTAATTAACATTTCCTAGGCTTGCAAACAAATCGAGCCGAGCCGAGCTAAGTGGGTGCTTGTTCATGTTTGAGTTCATTTATGATCAATTTGCTCAAGCTCGGTTTGAGCTTTTCTATCTGTGTTCAAGCTGGGTTCGTTTAAATTAATGGATGTTCATGTTTGATTCATGTTTATCTAGCTTTTAAAAAATGAGTCTTATCGAGTTATAAACAAGCTTTACTTCAAGATGTTCATTGGCTTAACAAACGAGCCTTATCGAGCTTACTAACAAGCAATTACATCTATCATATTCGCGAACATATCTAGGCTACACTTGGCCTCTAGAACAGACTTGTTCAAAAATGGAAAAAGAATTGTTTTTTTACCTCTTTTGGTCGATCGCAACTACCCAACCTCATTATTGGGATCATGGCTACTAGTAGGCTCCACCAGAGAGTGAGTAGCACCATCTTAGGAGAAGATGTCACTGCCTTAGGAACACTGTTCACCACAGCCAGATCTTGATGAACCCTCTGCAATGTGTAAGGAAAGGATGACTCTCGCTTTGCTCGGGTTAATAGTCGCTGTTTTATTTGGCTAATTCATTTTGGCCTTACTCGGCTTAACTTATAGCCTTGCTTGGTTCTACTTCCATTGCCTTGTTATGCTCCTCCCTAGTCGATTTGCTCGACCCAACCACGATTGCCTTCTTTTTAGTAATCTGGCTGTGCTTTTTCCCTTCAACTTCCCCCTTCTTATATTTTCAGAGAAGGGCTTTTCTCACCTTCTTACTATCCATGTTGGCATATTTGGAGGGCTCATGTCAACCATCTCTCTAGTGAGTTAGTGGAAAACACTCAAAGCATAGGAGTGCAACCACACCAAAGACCCTCATGGCTATTTATAGCCATATATGGTACATGGGTTAGATCAATTCATACTCAGAATCTTGAAAGAGGTGCTCCACTTGATGCAATAGTAAAAAGTAGGGCAATAATCCCCATTTACAATCTATTTTGTCATTTGCTGATGATGGTAAATGCTTTTCTTTGTAATTTCCCTTGTTTTTTTCCACATGTTGCTTTTTAAGGAGCAAGCAAATTGGGGAACTAAAATGTATGTTCATATATGCTTAGATTGATGTCTCTCAAGTATATAAACAAGTTCCTGTCAAGGAGCTTGGCCATATTACACTGCAGGGCACGGCGCGACGCACCTACGACGCCATTTGCATGGTGCAGTGTGCAGGTTCAAGTTGGCGCGCGCCATTTGTACGCAATGTCTCTTGGTTCACGGTATATAATTTTTTAATTTTTATATAATTTTAATTTTAAATAATATAATAATAAATTTTATATTATTAGTTATTTATTTATTAACTAAATCTAAAAACCTTACGGCCCAACCTTATTACTGCTCGATCCCTACTGCCAAAGCTGCAATCCTCACGCCTGCATGGATTCCGCCTTCCTCACGCTTGATTGAAGCTGCAAACCTCATGGACGCCTGATTTTTCAATTCCACACGGGATTTTGCATGGATTCCACCTCCCTTCACGCGCCCGGGTACTCCTTCCTCCCTTCACGAGTATTGACAACTCTCTATTTTTCTCGAACTTTTCTGCTTTTCATCGATTATTAGATTTACAATGCCCTTCTTGCAACTATTTAAATGAACGAAAGTTTTGAATTCATGATTTTTTAGTCACAATAGAGTCTAATAGAATCATTGCTCAATGCTTCCCTCTATCATAATGATATGAATGAAAAGCATAATATATGGAAAATTTATAGATATGTGGCAACTGATAACATATGCCCTAAGACATTTTATTATTCAAATAGGTTTGGCTCTTTTATTTGTTTAGATTATCTTGAACATGCTTGTTCAAACAAGCTTGCTTGGATGTATTGTCGTGCATTAAAAATTGGAATAATGCTACCATAAATAAATTTTCCACGCAAATATCTATCAAACACCTATTTTTTCAATAATTATTTTTTACTTTGCGTCGTGTTCAAAATGGCATGCGCCGCGCCGTGCGCTATGTGTCATGGCTTCAAGGGGATCTTTGTGCTGTGGTGCGCCATTCTCCCTTGACAAGTATGAAGAAAACAAGCTCACAAAAATGCTCGTCTTGAGGAAACCTCATCCTAAGGTTCAATTGCCATCCTAGTCCATGAATAAGGATGAAGTCATCCCATTAGAGCTCACACCATACAAGCTCATCCTTGGAGGATCGGGCCTAAGATGAGCTCGTTTCCGATGAGTTCATCATAGGATATATGGTCACTCATACAGGCCTTGCTTTCACCCTGAGGGGCACTCTTCATATATGTCGGCATGGATAGCAAGAAGTTGAGAAAAGCTCTAGGGTTAAGGCTTGTATGGATCAGTGACGCCGGGGCTGAGACGTTAATTGTATTAAATTCAACATAGTTTTAATTCCAATTGGTACATATATGACTGTATAGGAATAGTACTTTTTTTTTATGGTATGTAGCCTTTTATGTTACCTAATTGTCTATAAATACTTGTAGCTATTGCTTGTAATGACAACTTTTGAGATATAAATAATATTTGTGTAATTTTACTCTGTTATTGGGTTTCTGTATCCTGAAGGATTTAAGGTGGTGATCCCTCTCCCAAGGAGTTCTTGGAGTTATCTGGCCACGGCCACCGGATCATCGACGTGGATTCGTCGAACCCCCTCTGGTTCGGTGTCATTTGGTATCAGAGCCGGCAAGCTCTTCTTGTTCATTTTTCTGTATCCTGGACAAAGATCTAGGTGGTGGTCACCATCCATCTCTACCAGCCACCACTTCCTCCATCTTTGCGACAACCAACAATCTCCTTGTTCTGTGGCTTTTTGTCTTTCACCAAAGCCAGCAAAGCGGCGTGGAGGCGATCACATTTTTTCCATTAGCCAACCTACGACAACCCAAACAATAGCATCCTCTACGGTTCATGCCTCAACACCAGTAGTAACCATCTGTTCTTCAACATCAACGACCACCAAATTCAGCACTTCTGCATTAACAATTATGTTCTTTCCAGAATTCTGCATCTTCTTTCCTTATTTTGTTCTTTTCGGAATTCTGCATCCATAATTTCTGCATTTAGAATTTCTGAAGTTTTTCAAGATTCACAACACAAATTCTATAATTTAGAATATCAAGATTTTTGCATTCTGAAATCTGCCACCAAACGCCACCTGTACTTCCATATGTCATCCACCTTCAAAATTGCATCAGCTATCAAGAAGAGGCAAAGATTCATCCAACCTTCGGTGCAAAGAGGTGGTGATTCTTGAGAGATTGAAGGCAAGATCTATGAAAGTTCAAACTTCTTAGGAAAGGCTCAGCATTTGCCCTGTCTAAGAAAAACATCAAGAAGAGTAAAATCTTTATTTTGCTCGCTGTCGTGAAAAATCTGTTAGCTTTGAGATCGAGAGTCGGACTCTGTCCGAGCATTCTCAAGCTAGGTGTGGTTCTTGAAAGAAGTGAACAAACACATTTTTCTTTATTAGTGTGAGCGCTCTGGACTCCTCCGGAATTGAGGTCCTTCTTCCCCGGCTGGCCGACTTCGTCTTCGCAATCAATTATTGCTTCCGTCAAACCTCTTCTTCTCTAGAAAAATTCGCTCCAGAAAATGTCACTTCGCCGGAGTTATCAACGACCACTTCAAGACGCAGAAATTGAAGATCTTCAAAGAAAAATTATTCAACTCCAGCAGCGACTATCAAGGCTCGAACGGAAGAAAGGCACTGAATGCGTACGAACCAACGACGCCGAGGGCATTTCAGATAATCAAATCTCTTCTACCCATAAATGCGTTTTTGAAGGGCCACCTCGTCAGTCTTCCACCCCACCCTTGATCGAGTTCAGCTTTGAAGAATTTGAAGATTCATTTTCGAAATTGTCGTCTTTACTTCTTTACGATGAGCCAGCCCGTGTTTGACGTGTATGAGGATGACATGTTTATTGAAATTCTTGATATTGATCATTCCGCACATGATGATGACGAGAGCAATAAGAATGCCCAATCGGAGTTATTCATGCATAAGGCAACGAATGTGCTTACTGGGAATCAACAATTGGGTAGAGGTGAAAAGACTTGTTCTAGAGTCCAATGCAGCTTATGGAGTGGTGTTACTGGTGCATTCCGCAAGTCAACAAATGGAGAATGGGTTCATGCCTTTTGTGCTGAGTGGTTGCTGGAATCAACATACAAAATGTGCCAGCAAAATCTGGTCGAGGAAATGGAAGCTATTTCGAAGGAAAAGGATATAATTAATTGCTGTATACGTCATAACAGACTTGGTCTGTGCCTTAAGTGCAGCTATGGACATTGCCAGGCTAAATTTTATCCAACCTGTGCAAGAAGTGCTAGCTTATTCATGAACCTAAAAGCTATTGGTGGCCGGTTACAACACAAGGCCTATTGTGGAAAACATAGCGTGGAGCAGATAATAAAGGTTGATAGTCAGCATGGTGCTAAGGGGCTTAAGAATATAAAGCAATTGAGGGTTGACCTATGTCGTCAACTTCAGCTTATGTTGAAGTCTCTCCTAGACGAGAAGATTGACACCGGGTGGAAATATCCAGATCGATTTAGCCAACCAAACCCGCCTCCTTATGGCGGCCAACCGGACATCTTTCCATGAGCCCGAAGTTCCTCTTACCCCGATAGTATGACGCCGGGGCTGAGACGTTAATTGTATTAAATTCAACATAGTTTTAATTCCAATTGGTAGATATATGGCTATATAGGAATAGTACTTTCTTTTATGACATGTAGCCTTTTATGTTGCCTAATTTTCTATAAATACTTGTAGTTATTGCTTGTAATGGCAGCTTTTGAGATATGAATAATATTTGAGTAATTTTACTGTTGTTGGGTTTCTGTATCATGAAGGATTTCAGGTGGTGATCCCTCTTCCAAGGAGTTCTTGGAGTTATCCGGCCACGCCCACCGGATCATCGACGTGGATTCGTCGAGCTCCCTCTGGTCCGGTGTCAATTAGACCTAAGATGTGCTTATTCCTGACGAGTTCATCAAGAAGACTCACCCATGTAGGCCTTCACCCACCCCAGGAGAGCTTGCTTCTCCAATAATAGTTGTCCACATTCAAGGTCATTTGCATTTTGAGGATGTGCATTTTAAACTACACGAAGCACACACCTATAGAGCTTACGATCATGACTTCGTTGACTGTGTTCATCCTTGGCTTGCAACTGCTTTTTTCCCTGGGACTCACCATTCATTTGTAGAGAATTGCCTTCATAGATATGCCCTAGATATTAGCTATGGAGGACTTGCCCAAGGCACTTGACCCCAAAAAATCGCCCAATGTACTGGCCAGAGAACTCATATAGAGGCAGAGGGCCACATGTGTCCCAGTCAGCTTAGTCCAAGTGTCTGTTTCAGTCTATACCCATCATGTCATTAATTATTTTTTTCATTTTTTGTAGGTGTAGTCTCTCTCCTTTATCCCTGTGAACCCTATAAATAAGGGTTTATAAGACATATTTTGGACTGCATGCTATTTCATATCATTTTATGTTATTGTCATTGTTCACAGAGATCTTAGAGCTTCTTACTTACTCTCCATATGCTAATTTTTTCACTTGATTCTCACGTTTTGACCTACTAGGACTTGCTAATAGGGTTTGCTATTGGGCACTGGCAAATTTGGATCCAGTAGATGCCATGTTGATTGCATCCGACTTCAAATATAGATCTATAGGACTTGGTTATATATGGTGTGCTTGTTAGCATTATCACACACTCACAAACTCATGTTCGATTGTGTTTTGTTTTTGTTTTGTTTCTATTTTGTTTTTGTTTTCCCTTACAAAATAAAAATATGCTTGGATGTGTATTTGTTTACTATTGTCATAATATATGTTTTGTACAACAACAACAACAACATCAAGCCTTTATCCCACTACGTGGGGTTGGCTACATGAATCCTTTTTCTCCATTGTGTCCTATTAAAAGTCAAATTCTCGTTTAAATCTAATAAAGAAAGGTCATTCCTAATATTTTCTAACCAAGTCTTTTTAGGTCTACCCCTACCTTTCTTAACATAAGTCAAATCTAATACCTCTACTCTCCTAATCGGGTCATCGCAAGGCCGCACGTTTTATGTGACCAAACCATCTAAGGCGACTTTCTCTAATCTTATCTTCTACTGGAGCTACTCCAACCTTTTCACGTATATGCTCATTTCGTATCCTATCTCTAAGGGTAAAGCCACTCATCCACCTGAGCATCCTCATCTCTGCCACACTTAACTTAGTATTATGCTTCTCTTTTAAAGGCCAACATTCGGCACCATAAAGCATTGCAGGCCTCACTACCATCTTATAGAATTTTCCCTTAAGTTTGAGGGGTACATTTCTATCACATAACAAGCCCGATGCATTCCTCCACTTCAACCATCCAACTTGAATTCTGCTGATAATATCCCCATCTATTTAAATAAGTGAAAATATTTCATGTGTTGTTTTCATCAATTTTTTTTTTTGAAATGTTTCTAATATATGTATATATATATATATCAACCAATCTAACGAACTTAAGTGCTTATTTTAAAACAAAAAATCAAAACCTATTATTCTTTTAGGCTTATCTAATTAGCATATCTTAAATAAAAGTAATATATATTTACAAATCTAATGAATTTTTATTTAGTCTCTGATTAATCTAAGCTACTATTATAAACACTAATTAATTATTAACTTTTGTTAATTTGCATTATAGTAATTAATATATATATAAACACTAATTAATTATATATATATATTAGTCAAAACCAAATTTAATTAATATTTAAATCATAATTATAAAATTTAAAATTGTAATGAATTACTAATTAAGTATAGTTAGTAGTTAACCGTGATTTAATGACTAATTATTATGCCATGCTGTATTATCATAATTCAGTATTCGTAGAACCTTATGACAAGAATTAAATATCAATTACTGTATAATTTATCTTGATATTTACTTTGATTATTTTTGAATCAATTGTTGATTTTATTATTTTAATCTTAATTACCTCAATTAAATATTAAGAAAATATTTACAATTTAAATGAAATCTTAACTAATATTTAATAAGCTTAAATAGTTTTTTAATTGCTAATTATTTTAGCAAGTTTACTTATTATTAATTATCTCACGATCATGATTAAATAGTTATAAAATATTAATGATATTAACTACTTTGTAAGTAGTCTCTTTTTCAATCCCACCCTGCGCCTATTGCGAGGTGAATGCTGATGGAGACTTATTAGTCTTCAGAAATTTACTTAAAATTTTTGATAACCCTCAATTGTTCGAACAATCGAACTTATCTTGATTTTTCCTTTTTTTTTTTAAGTTGTTTCAACTTGATTTTCTCTATAAGGGTTTGAATCAGCATTTATTAGAAATATATGGCCATCTTTGAATTGAATCATTTGTTAAATTAATTGTTTTTGTGTTGAATGTAGATAAATGATAAAGAAAAATGACCCAAAATAGCTGAAATTAAGGCTATTCAGCTATTGATGATGATGCATTTTATCTGGAATAAATTTATGTAAATTACTGATTTTTTGTAAATGGATTAGATAGTTGTGTTTGTATTGTTCTACATTTGCTGACTTTCAGATTATCTGATGATGCAGTTGTTTTTGCATTTGGGCGTATTGGAGGGAACCAGTGCTGGATAATCAAACAGAACAAATTCAAGCTGCAACTTACTCCTGTTTATCAGTCATCGCCTGTCTTTTGTAAGTTTTTGTTACTTTTTTAAATGTCTCTTTTAATGTGTTTCACTAGCATATGTTCAGTAGGAACCTAAAATTAGTTTTCTTCACTGATGTGCTGACCTGCGTGCCAATGTTTTGCAGATCTTAAGAGAGGAAGTTGTAATCATGGCAGACTTGGAGAATTTGCTACTACAAGCTGCTGGAAGAACTGGCACATCATCTAGAAAGAACCAGTCCCATCCACATTCAAGATGGCGACGAGACGAATCATTCTCGGATGGAAGTGACTCGAAAGAGGATGATTCTGATAGCTCTAAGTTCAACAAGCGGAGACACTCTGGATCACAAGTTCCTCTAAAGAAGAGGCTAGATCCTCCTGAGAAAGACAAGAGGAGCAACTGGGTAGATGATCATGATGACAGGCTCAGTGGTGATGATTCTGACAGTGCACCTTCTGTTGGAAGTGATCTGTACAGAGATGAGGCGGATAAGGAAGAGCTGGGAAAACTGACTGAGCTGGATCGGGAGATGATTTTAGCAGAACGAAGCACAAAGATTGATGATTACCGCTTGAAGAAGAAAGCAAGGGCCTCATCAACAAACTTGGAGAAATCTAGAAAAGAGAGCCCCCCACCTCTCTCTTCTCGTGGACGTTCTTCTGTCAGGACAGAGAAGACAGGTGCAAAAACTGATGCATTAAATGAGTTGCGTGCAAAGAGGATGAGGCAGCAGGATCCAGAGGGTTACCGCAGGTTAAGGGATTCGGGTGGAATGACTGGGTCTACTTTTGGTAATAGAGATCCTTCTCCTCCCAAACACCGTTCTCTTTCTATTCCTGCACTTGATTCAAGCGATAGTGATGATGAGGGAACAAGTGTTGATGGTAAGGAAGACAAAATACCTGAAGACGTTGATATTGGGGATAATTTAGAGGATTTATTGACATCTAAATCAGAACCAATTAGGTATGAAGATGCCAAAGAAATAACAATTCGCCGATCAAAGTTGGCTAAATGGCTTATGGAGCCTTTCTTTGAAAATATTATTGTTGGATGTTTTGTAAGAGTTGGTATCGGAAAGACACAGAAAGGTCCTAAGTATAGGCTTTGTGTCATTAAAAATGTGGATGCAAGTGACCCAGACAGAACTTACAAGCTTGAGGGCCGCACCACTTGCAAGTATCTAAACTGTGTGTGGGGCAGCGAGGCCTCAGCAGCCAGGTGGCAGATGGCTATGGTTTCTGACTCTCTACCTACTGAGGATGAATTCAAAGAGTGGGTAAGAGAGGTGGAGAGAAATGGGGGCAGGATCCCATGTCGGCAAGATGTGGATGATAAGAAGGAAGAAATTAAAAAAGTTAGCACTTTTGTTTATTCAGCAGATACAGTAAAGCAGATGTTAAAGGATAAGAAATCAGCTTCTTCGAGGCCATTAAACATTGCAGCTGAGAAAGACCGTCTTAGGAAAGAGATAGAATCGGCAGAGAGTCATGGAAATGGCACGGAGGTAGATAGGATCCGGGCGAAGCTGAAGGAGCTAGAAGACTTATCTAGGCAGCCTAAGAGAATTGATGCTAAGGCGATCAAATTAGCAGAAATGAACCGAAAGAATCGAGCAGAGAACTTTAGGAATGCATCAGAGGTGAAGCCAGTAAATACCAGCTTAAAGGCTGGTGAAGCAGGTTATGATCCCTTCTCAAGAAGATGGACTAGGTCTATTAACTATTATGAGCCTGCCAAGCCTGGGGTAGATGGAAATAGACCAATCACAAATGGTGGTAATGAGAATGTAGTTGCTAGTTCAGGAGATGCAAATGGGGTGACTGCAGGTAATGGAGTGGAAGTTGGCGTGTTAGCCACTGCGGCAGCTCTAGAGGCAGCTGCAGGTGCAGGAAAATTGGTTGACACCACAGCCCCAGTTGATCTTGGTACAGAGTCAAATTCGCTACATAATTTTGATTTGCCAATATCATTGGCTGGTCTCCAGAAGTTTGGGGGCCCTCATGGCGTACATCTCGGATTTATGGCAAGAAAGCAGAAGATTGAAGCAACTATTGGCTATAAGGTACCTGACAATGATGGGAGGCGACATGTATTGACACTGAGTGTTAGTGACTACAAGAGACGCAGAGGTCTTCTTTAAGTGGCTGCTAATTTAGGTATGCTATATTTTTTTATGTTAAAACTTGCAGTACATTTTTATTTTTTATATGTTACTATAACAGGCAGTTTTTCTGAGCTACTTGAACTTCAGGTGCTTGTTTAGCTTGGCATGTTTGGTGTTTCATTTTACAGTTATATTGACTGGCAAAAGCATTATGCTTTCTAAATTAAGTATGAACTGACACATATGTGTGTTTGTTGAATGCTGATTGGTTGATTAGTTTGCCATAAAATAATGTATATCTTGTATCATTATCAACTGGTAATTTTGATTTTACTGTTCTACTATTACAGTTTATGGATAGCTATTTTGAAGACCTAGACTGGGCATTTTAGTGTAATTCCAACTTTCCAAGGGAAATAGTCTTGATATTCTTTTAAAACTTTAATGATTGCTTGAGATTAACTTTCTAGCTTAAACTTGCTTATAAAGTGTGACAAAGATCATCCTTAGCAACCAATTTGACTCCTTGCAACTCATCAATGATAGATGGCACATTTGGTAGTTTATTTTCCACCCACCCTGCTCCAGGTCACTTAGCTTGCCCAGTAACCTTGCCCATTTTTGGCTCTGAACACGACCAATCACCCCATCTAGTAGCTGCCCCTACCCCATCCTTCTCTAAACTTCACTCTTTTTAGATCTTGAACATGACCAATTGTCCTTTTAGTAATCTCGAAAGCATACCTCAATTGGTCAGGGGGATGAATTAAGTTATAAATTTTTATTTTTTTAATTAAAAACACATGCATATGAGTGTATAAAACAAAAACAGATTTACACCTATGGGTGGTGTGGAGTCAGACTGAAATACATTGAACTAAAGGAGCAGAAGGTCAACATAAGAAATCCAAACTACACTAGAAGAGAAGTATTTATAGCTGTTCAACTTCTTCACAATCCTACATACGCTCCCTAGGATTTTTTTGGGGTTACTTGGGATTTGTTTGAGGTAGTTGTTTGATTATTTAGCTTCTATTTGGCTATAATATTTTTGTTACCTTAAAAAATTTCTTTGGTGAGAAGCATTTATGTATAACTAGATCTACTAGTGCCCGATAGCTGTAAGAAAATAGTTGTTCGAGTTTTTTAAAAGAGATAAAATTTTATAAAACGGATAGCAGCTTGCAAAAAATATATTTTTTCCACAGTAGTTCTAAAGCTACTTCTGTAATTAGTTGCAAACATCTCAAATAGACCCTTATGTGTTTCTACTTTTATTCTTAGGACTTCAGAATTTGTTTTCTCAGTAACAATTTTTATTCTGTTTTCCCAAAAGCAGATTTTATAAAAAGGAGGTAAAAAACAATATAGTTTTTCATCAAACAAATACCTTTTGTTGGTTGCTTTTCTATCACAAAATCAATCAAAAAGTTGTCCGAAATGAAGCTCTAATGATGCGGTTGCTGTCTTAGTGTTGTTACATGATGCAATCAATACTTTATGTTTATTTCAATTCTATTGTAATGTGGACTTTATGTTTTATGTTTTCCCCAATGATGGAAGGCAATCATTGATCATGATTAGGTTAGTGTGCTCTTGGATCATGTCCACCTTTGGATTGCTAGCATCCTTGGTTCTTTGGGTATTTGATGTGGGTCGCATTTCATCTTGGGCTTGGCCCATTAGCTGTCAGCTGCTTGGGGATTAGCCTTTTGTTTTGTGCCTGTTGGGATCCTTGCTGAGGGCCCCTTGGATGTTCCGCTCCCCTGGTTGTTTGGTTTAGTCGTGCCTTTTTGTTTGGGATTCCTCCTTGGCTGTTCGGTTTCTGTTGTGCCTTTTTCCCAAGGGTTTTACTATTTTTGGTTGGCTGTTTGGGCGGCTGTTTTGGTGTCCTTTGGGCTGCTTCTTTCCTATTTATAGGAGCATATTTCTGCTATTGGAGTTGGTTGAAGATTTATAAGTAAGTGTTTAAAACATGAGGGTTTTTCTTCTTAAATCTTGAGAGCTTCTTCTCCACCTATTTCTTCTTCTAAGGCTTCTACCTATTTCTTCTCTCCACAAGTTGCCATCCATTGTATCTTTCTTCTCTTTCAAAGTGAAAGTGGTATCGTTGGTGGCTGGTTTGTTAGTATTTGCCAGAGGAGTTCATAAGGAGTTTGAGCCGAATTTGTTGTGGTGGTCCATGGGATTGCATGTCATTGAGCACTCTAATTTTTTATTCGTATCGTACACGTGAGATGACCACTAGTTAGTTGTTCTGAGGGGATTTATTTTAGTTTTAAAAATATTTGCTTTATTTAGTTTCTTTATATTCTTGTTTTGTTCTTTCTAAGTTTTCTTTGATGTTTCTTGAGTCAAACTTATTTGTCGGTGGTTTTTCATCTGTTTTGAATTGAGTTGTGTTCTACTTTCATTAGTGTTCTCCTTGGGCTTTTAACTTGCTGGTTCCCATCATTACCCCTAAAGCTTTTTCTTGGTTACTGTTCTTTTTATTGGTTGGCGTTGGTTTATTGGTTTTATTTGCTAAATGATGAGATAACTTTTATTTTGATTTGGCATATGACAGTGGTCTATTTTGCTATTTCTTAAGGGCAATGTGTGTGTGACGGGGACATCAGATCTTGGAAGGTTTATCAGAGGTGTGACCGCCGATCTACGGCTACGATCGAGTCATTGTATTTTTGATTTATGTATTTTCTTATTTATGCGTCGTTGTATTTGTCTTATGTTTTATCTTATTTCCCGCTGTACCCTTTTAATAAAAGGATGTCGTATGTAAGCCCCGAGGGCATTGTCATCTTTTATTTATAGCCCCTTGTTTTGTCTTTGAAGGTAATGAATGATTAATTAAAATTTCTTCCTTGCATGAGTTCTTGTGAGAGCTTGAGAGTTTGATTGGAGAGAAATCCCTAGGAGAGTGAGATCGGATCACCCACCACCTTGGAGATGGCCGGATTCGTGGTTTTCTTCCTTATATTTTTCCTTTCCCCTCCACAACCACCACCAGACATCACTACATCCAAACCCTTCTCCATCTCAAAGCCATCGTCTCTTCCCAACCGAGCTCCACAAACATTCCCCCACTAGCCGCCGGCCACCTTACCCGAAACCCCTCCACCCGCCGGCCCTAGCCTCCTTCCCTCTTAGATTTCCATTGCCTAATTTAGATTGGTATAATTGGGGGTAGATTTTGAAATCAAATCTAATCAATAAAAAATTTAAAATCTTTCTAAAATTATCAAATCTATTTTAGGAAAGTTTTTAAATTAATCATATTTGAATTTCAAATTTAAATTGGAGTTAATTTAAATCCTTCCTAATTCATAATCCCAAAATAAGAAGCCCCAATTGTTAGCCACAATTTTCTCCCACCCTTATGATGCCGCCCCCCCTCCCCACCTCCAATAAATCCACTTGGATTTATTTCCAAACTCCTCCACCCTTCCCTATTTAATTCCAATTGCCTTTGGAAAGTATTTGAATTTGAAATTAAATCCAATCTAGATTCCAAATCTTTTCTATTTCCTCTTAATTCTTTTTGGAAGGGTCCTAATTTAAATCAATCAATCAACTCATGGTGGATTGATTAAATTAAATCCCTAATTCCAAAATACATTGCATCTAGACACTTGCTCCCTCCCCTTTGCTTGGCTGAACCCCCTCATCTCCCTCCCCTTTGCTTGGCCGAACCCCATCATCTCCCACCTCTTGATTTCTTTCTTAAATTAAAGCCTCTTCTCTTGAAATTAAAGTGGGAATAATTCCTAAATCCCCCCCATTGAGAATTTGAAATTTATTTCAGATTTTCTACGCGTGTTTCCCCACTTGATCTACTACTCCTCTCCCGTTTCCCTTGGCCGGCCACACCTTGCCGTCCTACTACAAGTTGAAGAGAAACTTCTTTCTCTTCAACAAAGTTCGAGATTGCTAGCACCCTTTGGAAGAGATCATCCTTGAGCTTCCATGAATGGCCGATCCCGACACTGACTACGGGCTTGCCTACAACGAGCACGGTTTCGTAAGCATCTTACATTCAACCTTCTTCGGCGTCAGCCCGAGGATCGATCACTATTTGGAAGATTTCATTGAACGAATCTTGGACACGTTGGTGGAAGCTATTGAAGAACAGTTAGAGATCATCGAGTGGAGGAACGCCGCCAATCTTTGACAAAGGTTTTTCCTACTCTTCCTCTTCGTGTCTTTTTTTAGCCTAACATCTCTTGTGAGTTGATTGTAGTCACGAATGACGCCTTCATCTCCTTGTATCGACCTGAGACTAAAATTTTTTATGTTGCTGAATTTTTTCTTGACTTAATTTCTTAAATATATTTTGTTACTGGCTTTGCTGTTGTTTCAAATTTTGTTCAAATTTGAGACAAATGTTCTAATTGTAGCGATCAAATTATAGTTGCTTACTAATTTTGCATGGTTTGAATTTTCACTATTATTTTTTTTGGCTTATTTGGTTATTACATTATCTTTTGGGCTATAATTTTTATATTTATTATATTGTATTTAATGAAATTAAGTTTTTCACATATTTAGTTGTCTATAATCTCCTAATTCTAAATTTTGTTGCATAATTTACATGTATGATATTATTCTAGTTGCATTAGGAAACCCTAATCCTAAGACATCCTATTTCAAATTGGTATTAGATCTTAAGTTTGCATCATCATATCAACTAAATATGGGACGTTAATTGGCTCAATTAAAAATCAATAAACAATGCAATTTAAACATTTTAGAGTAAATTAAAATTTTATTAAATTAAACATAACTATTGTGAAATTTAAAATTAAATTCTTACATTTGATTTAAGTATGATTATAGAAAATTGTCAGGGTGAATAATAATTATAAAGTTTTTTTTTTAAATTTTAGCATTATTATTTATTTGATTCTAGAAAGTTGAAGTTGCTGAAATAAAATTAGTGAACACGCTTAGTTATTTTGGTTAAGTGTTTCTAATGCAGGAAAATCAACATGGGTTGGCGGATAGCATAAGTTTAAAGAGAAATATCGACCAATTTTTAGACATCAAGATGAGTTG